TGTGGTTGCACATCCTGTGATGACTCTAATTCAATTCCGTGGTGTACAAATTCTGCTGGCAATAGCGGTAATTGAGGTCAGGGATTTAGACAGTCTCTGTGTGTTCCTTTTTATTTTCTGCTCAGAGCCTGCCGGGAGCTGATTTTCTTCTTTAGATTGAGGTAAATAATTCAGTGGGAAGCAGAGGTTTTGCTGTGGGTCGATTGCTCTCCTGTGCTGCGTGGCAGCTGTGCTGGTGGCAGCTAATGTTCAGTGGGCATTGGCCTTGACATTGCATTATTATTATTTGAGCAACGGTACGTTCTTTGCTTGGCAAAATAGCTGTTTGTTATATTGACTTTCTGGGGTCGTGGCCCCTGATGTGTTACTGAAAATCATGGACACGAAGCAGATGGATTAATTGGAGAAAAGACATACAAATGTATTTAACGTGCATACAGGGGAGCATTCAGAGTGAAGACCCCAAGTTACAAGGGGAGATTGCCTATTTTTATGCTTTGGTTCAACCAAGTCTGGATAGCTGTGTAGAAATAGGGTTGGACAAAAAGGGCCTGATCCAATGCTGAAGGTCTGAGCGGGGAAACGCAGCCAGGCCTGTGTATCTAGATTCTTCTGGGCCTCTCTCTCTCTCTCTCTTTTTTTTTTTTAGACGGAGTCTCACTCTGTTGCCAGGCTGGAGTTCAGTGGCGCAGTCTCAGCTCACTGCAATCTCCGCTTCCCAGGTTCAAGCAATTCTCCTGCCTCAGCCTCCTGAGTAGCTGGGATTACAGGCGTGCACCACCACGCCCAGCTAATTTTTGTATTTTTAGTAGAGACGGGGTTTCACCATGTTGGCCAGGATGGTCTCGATCTCTTGACCTCATGATCTGCCCTCCTGGGCCTCCCAACGTGCTGGGATGACAGGCGTGAGCCACTGTGCCCGGCCTCTTGGCCTCTCTGAGCAGCACTCCTTCCTTCCGGGTACGGGGCTGGCGGCTTCTCTGGGATGGGGTCTCAGGACGCCCAAACAAGGCAGGTCAGGGAATTTCCTTATGGCCACTCTTTGTTTGTTTTTTTTTTTTCGAGACATATTCTCGCTCTGTCGCCCAGGCTGGAGTGCAGTGGCGTGAAATCGGCTCACTGCAAGCTCCGCCTCCCGGGTTCACGCCTTTCTCCTGCCTCAGCCTCCCGAGTAGCTGGGACCACAGGCGCCCACCACCACGCCCGGCTAAATTTTTTGTATTTTTAGTAGAGACGGGGTTTCACTGTGTTAGCCAGGATGGTCTCGATCTGCTGACCTTGTGATCCGCCCGCCTCGGTCTCCCAAGTGCTGGGATTACAGGCGTGAGCCACCGCGCCCGGCCTGTGCCACTCTTTATACAGATAGGATAGAGGGACAGTTAGAGTCCTGTTTTTAGGTTTTATGGCTGGCTTTGGGGGAGAGGTGTTCTTGTTTCTGGGACCCGTCTTGGGAAGAGGGATTCTAGTTCCTTCGGTGCCTCAGGGGAGAATGGGACTCAGAGACCGAGGGGCTGGAGAAGTTTCGAGAGAAACGTCTGCTTCTGAGGCTGCCGCTGAGGCCTGCCCTGGGCGGTATTGTTTCGTCAGCCTGAACCACGTGTAGGTCTGAATCAACGTAAGGAATTTGGGTGGGGGGGCAGGGGAACTCCAATAAGAAGCATCTTTGACTCTGGCAGAGGTGGAATTTGGGCCCAAGAGGGGTTTGGTGACTGCGGGCTACAGAAGAATGCTTCAAAGCGCTGTGTCACATGGCTGGGGTCCTGAGCACAGCTTTACGGGGGGCTCATGTGTAACGCTCGGCCCTCCCATCCACCAACAGGAGCCACTTAATCGACATCTCCAGGATGCCAGCAACCGAGGACCATTGTCACAGTCCCAGCACAAAATGAGGCTGCTTTCTTCTTGGGGGTTTAGGGATCCCAGAACACAAGGATTTGATTAAAAGCTGCTGAGTTCACTAAGTATAAGCAAAGCAAATCGGAAACAGATCTTGTGTTCCTGCCCCGTCTTATGTTCCCGGTGGAAAATAAACCCCGTGAGAGCAATAGCATCATGTGCAACCCCGACCTTGGAGACAGAGACCCCAGAGTTAGCATCGTCTACCTGGGACATCTCCCAGCCCAGGGTTCTTACTCCAGGCCCATGAGGACCCCAGCCGTGGCTTTGCTGTAACTTCCCTGGAGAGGAGAGAGGATGGGGGCCCTGCCTGGGAGATAGATTTCCTGCCTGACGTGCAGGACTGGAGACTGTCTCAGTGCCCAGGCCGCCTGATGCTGGCCAGAGTCCGCCTTGTTTATGTAACGAGGTCTGGGTGTGACCGACAACAGCCTCGTGTGTATGAGTCACGAATGCAGCAACTTCTGGCTGCAGTGCAACCCCTGAAACCAAGCAAAGCCTAAAACCCCCAGGCTCCACTTCCTCTGTGACACTCCCCACCCTCAATTCCTGTCATCCCCCAGGGTCATCCAGAGCATCTCAAAGCTGAAGGAGCCTCCGCTGCAACCTGGCCTCCTGCTGCAGGATGAGACGAGCTGTCTGCAGCCCTCCCATGCCGCCTGCCTGTTTTATGCAACAGCATTTCAGAGAGGAGGGACTGGGAGGGGAGAGATAACACTGAGGCCTTTGGTTATTTAGGGCAACAGCAGGGAGTGGCCGGGTACACGGATTGGGAGGAGATTCTTAAGTAGTTGCTGAGGGGATGCCTGGAATTGCTGGGATGGGCCGAGATACAACGCAGTGAAAGCTATTGGTCAACGGTGAACACAGATTGGAATGTAAATTCTCAGGGTGTGTGCATAGCCGAGACGCTTAACTCTGGGGTCCTGGACAGGTGTCTTGACTGGAACTGCTGGCAGCCTTGGAGGGGAGATGTCGCACGGATCCAAGAGGCTGAGGCGGCTCCTGTCCCCGAGCCCAGTCTGAGCAGCTTGGACCATGATGACCAAGAGAGCTGGAGGAGGCCAGGTGCAGTGGCTCACGCCTGTAATCCCAGCATTTTGGGAGGCCAAGGCAGGCGGATCACTTGAGGTCAGGAGTTCGAGACCAGTCTGGCCCAACATGGTGAAACCCTGTCTCTACTAAAAATACAAAAGTTAGCTGGGCGTGATGGCGTGCACCTGTAATCCCACTTACTTAGGGGGCTGACGCAAGAGAATCGTTTGAACCCAGTAGGTGGGGGTTGCAGTGGGCTGAGATTGTGCCACTGCACTCCAGCCTAGGCGACAGAGCGAGACTCCATCTAAAAACAAAACAAACAAAAAGAAAACAACAACAAATAGGGAGAATGCTGGAGGGAGCAAAGAAGGGCTGGGTTGTTCTTCAAGGCGAGCCTGCAGTGATCACTGGCAGCAGAGAACATCATCTGAGAGGGACGTGGGGCACCCAGAGTTTGAGAGAAATGGCTGTGTGGGATTTGACCTGCGATGGCACCACCAGCTCCCAGCCTCCAGTCTGGGCCCAGGGGCAGCTGCTGTGTGCGCCCTGGGCTCAGAGTCCCCCTTCCCTCCAAGGTTTGTGACTCTGTCCTGACTTAGGGGCTCCTGTCTGGGGATGCACCTTCGGCTCTGGAGAGGCCCTGATTACCTCCACGAGGAGCCGCAAACCTGCCTGGGTGGCGTCTGGCTGGAGCCATGCCACAGGCTGTACGAATCTATGTTGGAGCCCTTGAACCTTCCCACAGAGCAAGCATCACCCAGGCAGACAGATTTTTGGGAGGGAGACAGATATCAGAGCGGGGGAGAGCCAGCACCGAGGGCTCACCTGGTTCCCCCAGGCTTAGTCTCCTCCATGGCTTAGTGTTTGAGTGAGAGGTTGTCCCCCCTGGACAATTCTGCAGATTCTGACTCTGCTCCTGCCTTGCCCTGAACGTCCCGGAACCTCAGGTTCTTCCTTTGGGAAATATGCATGCTGGTCATACCAACATCCTCGGGTGGGCAGATGAGATGCTTGGGTGCCTGGCATTATTGCAACAGAACTCAATGCATAGTAACTGCTGACTACTGACAACTTCAATGTGCTCCTGGCTGCATCCTCTACTTCCTGATAAATTCTCTGGTGGTGTTTTCTCTACAAGGTTAGTACTGGCAGGGGGCAAAGGAGGAACAAGAGCAAGGTGTGCATATGTGTCAGCAAGAGGGACTCTTCATCCTCACAAATTCTGCAGTGTGTTTTTAATGATGAGTCACAAAGATGTGAATGTTCTCTTCTCTCCGCTGCAGACACATTCATTAGGTTAACTGCTTTTGGATCAGGTTCTCCACAGAGGTTGCTTCCTGACCCTGTATTTGTCAGCATAGGCTAGCTGCTGTAACAAACATCCCCCAAAGAATGAAAAGTTTGTTTCTTTTTTGTGTTGCAGCCAGGTGAGGTGGCAAAGGTGTCCTATACTCCATATAGTCTCTCAGGGATCCAGGATCCTCACATTGTTATGCTTCACCTTCTTCTAGGGCAGCCCCTCTCAACGCAGACTCTGTGTGGGGTGGGGGGCGGGGGGCAGGAAATGCCAGTTCTAAGCTGTGAGTGTCCAGAGTCCAGGAGAGAAGTCTATGTGCTTGGAAAGAGGCTTCCTTCAAAGTTTCCTGGCCTTGAGCAGGAATGAAGCTCTGACACAAGTTGCAACGTGAATGCAACTCAAGAGCATCATGCTCAGTGAAAGAAGCAAGGCACAAAATACCACATATTGTAGGATTCTATTTATACGAAATTCGCAGAACAGACAATTCATGGAGACAGAAAGTGGATTAGTGGTTGTCAGGGGCTAGGGAGGCGGAAGGGGAAGTGACTGCTGAATGGGGACACAGGTCTTCTTTTGGGTAATGAGTATGTTCTGGGACTAGGTGGAGGTGGTGGTTGCATCTCCCACGTAGCTCATAGTCAGGTTAGTTTTAGTGCTCTGGGTGACCCTAGGCTTGCAGGAGGAGGGGAGCAGCATGAGGTGAGGAACAAGGGGGATTCTGGCTTTTCTATCATGGGGTGACTTATGCCCTGTTTGCTCCCAATAGGTCAAAGAGACTTTGACTTGGCGGACGCCCTTGATGACCCCGGTAAGTGCCGATATTTCAAGGGGAGCCTTCTCTTTTCAGCTTGGATCTAACAGCATCAGCTGTATAGTTACTTTGGGGTTGGATTGGGCCAGTGTTGGGAATTTCTTGGTGTTGAGAGCTCTGTTCTTCGTGGGAGATTACAAACGCCTCGAGACAAACATTTACACACTCTCTAAATGTCTCAGACTCATTTCTTGGTAGGTCTGTGCTTCTAAACCTGTGGTTTAGGAATATGCTAGTATTTTATTATTTTATTTTATTTTATTTTACTTTATTTTACTGAGATGGGAGTCTCGTTCTGTTGCCCAGGCTGGAGTGCAGTGTTGCAATCATAGCTTACCACATAGCCTCAACTTCCCGGCTCAAGTGATCCTCCCACCTCAGCCTCCCAAGTAGCTGGAACAACAGGTGTGTGCCCCCATGCCAAGCTTTTTCTTTTCTTTTCTTTTCTTTTTTTTTGTAGAGATGGATTCTCACTACGTTGCCGAGGTTGGTCTTGAACCCCTGGGCTCAAGCAATCCTCTCAAAATGCTGGGATTACAGACGTGCACCAGCATGACCGGCCCAGTTTCTGCTTTTCTTACACTTCATTTCATGTCCCTCGTTGTCCTACACCCTGGTCCCAATCCATGGCCTCCAATCTCTCCTCCCAGAGCACACTTCATTCTGTTCTCCCATCAGCTTGTCTGATTACTTTCACTCATGGGGCTGTGAGTTTTTCTTCTCCAGGGTACTGAGGACCTGGAATCTTCCCATTCTGTGTTTTATCAGTTCAAGGTCAGCTGGAACGTTTCTGACTGACCAGAATGCTGAAAATATGCATCCTGGACCCTGCAGAAAGTCCTGCTCGAGGCAGACAGTCTAATTGAGATTCAAACATTTATAGTGAAAGAAAAATATACTTTTATGTACACAGAGGAAGACTCCATTGGGCTTTAGCATTGGGAACAACTGGCCGACCAGGGCAGTTACATAATGGTGTTTGTTGGAGGAAGAGAGAATGATAACCAGATCTGATCCTAAAAAACCGACAACAAGATAATAGGAACTCATCTCTCTCCCAGTTTTCTGCGCACAGTGATGTTTTTGCTAATAATGATCCTACAAAGCAGATACAAAATTGTTGTCTGTGCAACAGGAAAATGTAATGACCCACCCCAACATGAAGTTGCCATTTCTCCCATCAAGTTAGAAAAGATGAAGATTGAATCTTACCCTGTCAAGGCAGACTGAGGGGTGGGAGTTGGAGGCAGGTGTGTGGTTGCAACCACTTTGGAAGCATTGGGGGATTTTCTCCAAAATTCAGACCGAGTGCGTAGCACCAGCATTTGGTTTGGACAAAGAATGAGGCATAGCTGCAAGAGAACCCTGTGCAATAGAGAAGGACGGGCTGGCTGGTGGGCTCAGATACAGAACAAGACATGTTACTCATCTGGAAGAGCACTGACATGTGACCCAGCAGTTCCACTCCTAGACAGGTACCCAAGAGAATTGGGAGCAGGGACTCAAACAGATATTTGTGTACCCATGTTTACAGCAGCAATCTTCACAATAAGCCAAAGGTGGAAACAACACAACTGTCCATCAGGAGATGAATGAATGAACGCAATGTGGTCCCTCCATGCAACAGAATATTATTTGGCTGTAAAAAGGAAGAGGGGTTCGGATACATGCTTCACAAGCCTTGAAAATGTGTTCCGTGAAAGAAGCCAGGCACAAAAGGCCACAGGGTGTAGGATCCCATTAATATGAAATATCCAGAACAGGCAAATTCAGAGAGACAGAAAGTGGCTTAGCGATTGTTGGGCTGGAAGAGGGGAGAAAAAGGAGGGACTGCTTGTGGTTATGGGGTCTCCTTTTGGGGGGATGAAACTGTTCTGGAACAGATAGAGGTGGTGATTGTATAGTATTGTGAAAATATGAAACACCATTGAATTGTACACCTTAAAATGTCAAATTTTATGATATGTGAGTTTCATGTTGATTTTTTAAAAATCACAGAAATAAACTTCCTTGCCACTCACCTGTTACTACCTTTTCATTGCTCACCTAGAAGACTGCCAGTGCCTGCAAACACATCTTTGAATGCATCATTTTGCTGCCAAGAGCCCCCCATGAATGGGCAGGCATGTGCCTGCTCATCCACAGCCCTTCCATATGGGAAGGAAGCCCCAGTGCACAGGAACCACAGTCACCTGTATGGCGACTGTGGGGTGTTCGCTTTTCACTGTCTATACTGCTTGGGCTTTAAGAAACTCTGTGAGTGTATCACTATTTTAAAAAATCTTTATAACTTTACATTTTAAAAAGAAGATGGAGAAAGGAAGGATGGGAGAGAGGGAGGGAGGGTGGGAGGAGAAAGGAAGGGAAAAGGAAGAGAAGCAAGAAAAGAGAAGGAAACAATGAAAGGAGGGAGGAAAAGAGGGAGGGAGGGAGGAAAAAAGGATGGAAAGAAGGAGGGAAGAAAAGGGAGGAGAGAGGGAACAATGGAGGGAAGGAAGGAAGAAGAAAGGAGATGAGATAGGAAAAGACTGAGGGAAGGAAGGAAGGAGGAAGGGAAGAAAGGAAGAAAGGAGCGGGGGAAGGAAAGAAAGACAGATGGGGGAAGAAAGGAAGAAGAAGGAAAAGAAAGAAGGAAGGATGGAGGGAAGGAAGGAGAGAGGGAGAGAAGAAAGGATGGAGGGGAGGAAGGAAGAAAGGAGGGTGGGGAAGAAGAAAAGAAGAAGGGGGAAAAGGAGAGAGGGAAGGAAGAAAGGAGAGAAGGAGGGAAGGAGAGGAAGAAGGAAGAAGTGAGGGCAGGAAGGGAGAGGGAGGTGGCAGGAAGGAGAAAAGGCGATGGGAAACCTTCAGTTAAAATACGGGACATGCGAAATCGTATGTCCCCTTTGGAGCTTCAGACTCTCCTTTTTGCAGTCTCTGCACCCCCAGTGAATGCCCCCACCACACGTATACCCCTGTGTTCCAGCTTCCTCCTACCAAGGCAATGCGAGGCTGTTATGTGAACCATGCTTTCAAATACACTGTTTCCTCTGTTTGGAAGAAGTCTGGCCATTGCACAGCCCTGAAGCTCCAATTTTCCCAGCCATGGCCGACTCCACCTCCTTTGACTTATCTTCCTCAAACCTCCTCCTGCCCCTGTCTGCCCACCCTCACTGCACACCCAGGTTCACTGAGCAGGGTGGTCACAGGCTGCACCCTGAGCACTCCTGACCTGATAGCCACATCCATGCAATACATGTTTGCTGAATGAATAAATAAGTGAATGAAAGAAAGTGAGAAAAGCCATCATTCTAGAAGCTGAAAGTCTTTCTCCATCTTTTCTTTTGCCTCCCCCTGCCCCGCTCTCCACTGTCCAGCTCTATGGTGGCTCTACGGGCAGGTAGCTCACTTACTTGTCTTGGATGTTCTCAGCTACTGTGGCCATCCTGTGGGCATCCTCACAGCCTCAAGGGTGGATTGTTTTTGAATGGATTTTAAGGGTGTTTTCTTGCTTTTCTTCTGAATACAACATGGAATTTGTGTCCATATCATTTACTTTGTATTGCTTTGTCACTCCCTTTTCATCTTTCATCAGGGCGTTCATGGCCTTTCTTTGTGCTTCTGATGAATCTTCAATGCATATTGAATTTATTTTCTCTCTTTGTTCACAGAACCCACCAAGAAGCCAAACTCAGGTGAGTGACTCTTTGGCTGGGAAAAACTGAGGCAATGTCCTTGAACTGATGCTTATGGAGGGATGGTGGGGTGTATGAAGAAGATGCAAAAACTACACCAGATAGTAGATATTGAAAGCAAAATGTGGTGATTAGGGAAATGCAGATCACAACCACAGTGAAGCACCACTTCATACTCACTGAGATGGCTAAAATCTAAAATGGAAAATAACAAGTGTTGACAAGGATGTGACAAAACTGCAATGTTTGTACATTGCTGGTGGGAGTCTAAAATGGTACAGCCACTGTGAACAAATGCTTTGGTGGATTCTCAAAAAGTTAAATATAGAATTACTCTGTGAACCAGCAATTCCACTCCTAGGTATGTAGTCAAAATAATTGAAAACAAGGGTTCCAAGAAAAATATGTACACAAATGTTCACAGCAGCACTATTCATTATAGCTAAAAGGCAGAAATAACTCATATGTTCATCAGTGGAAGGAATGGATAAACAAAATGTGGTCCATCCACACAATGGAATATTATTTAGCCTTGAAGAGGAATGAAGCACTGAAAATTGATACAAAGTGGTTGAGCCTCAAAAACATTTTACAAAGAGAAAGAAGCCAGACACAAATAATCACATAGTGTATATTTTTATGAAAATAAAATTTCAAGAATAGGCGAATCCCTAGAACCAGAAGCAGTGTCGTGACTGCCAGGGGCTGGAGGGGAAAGGGACAGTGACTGCTTGATAAAATCCAGGTTTCTTTTTGGGGGGACAAAAGTGTTCTGGAAGTACACAGAGGTGATGGCTGCACAACACTGTGAATGTTCTAAATGCCCCTGAATTGTTCACTTTTAAATGGCGAATTATATGTAAATTTTGCTTCAATTTATTTATTTATTTATTTTCAATTAAAAAGGTAACCTTTGGCCAGGGGTGGTGGCTCACACTTGTAATCCCAGTGCTTTGAAAGGCTGACGTGGGCAGATCACCTGAGGTCAGGGGTTCGAGACCAACCTGGCCAACATGGTGAAACCCGGTCTCTGCTAAATATAAAAAAATTAGCTGGGCATGATGGCACATGCCTGTAATCCCAGCTACTTGGGAGGCTGAGGCAGGAGAATCACTTGAACCTGGGAGGCGGAGGTTGCAGTGAGCCGAGATCACACCACTGCACTCCAACCTGGGTGACAGAGCAAGATTCCGTCTCAAAAAAAAAAAAAAAGAAAAAAAAAGAAAAAAGAAAAAGAAATAACTCCCAGACTTCTAGCAGACTCCTTGACGGCCTTCCTGACATGAGAGATGTCAGGAAGTCAGTGGACAGGCATTTATAGGTTGTTCAGGAAATGTTCACTATCAAGCAAGAATTGAAAATGCAGCTAAATTGCTGTTGGAGAGTGATGATAGCGTAAATATTTCCAACAAGGAGCTCTGCAATTCTTGCTGAAAAATCTTCCAAATGATGCTCTGCCTTAAGAAGAAATTCACACCTTGAATAGCACAGCAGGATGCGAACAGCAATGCCAGCCAAAGACATTGGAAACAAGCCGGTAAAACTAAGTGATTGTTAGCTGTTTAACAAAATAATAACTGGTGTTAACAACAAAGTGAAACTTAATTTCTAAAGATTAGGCTACCTTCACAGAGAGGATAAGAAAGGGAAGAAGTGAGTAAAAGTAGTTAGATGTTGCTGGATTTTGACATTTTAAGGTTAAGTGTTCCTGTTAAAAATAGAAATTGAACATATAACTCCTGAACTAGTGGAGGAAAATGAAGAATGAAGAATAAAATTAAATACAAAAAAATGAAGAATAAAATTAAATACCAAAATTAGCCAAGTGTCGTGGTGAGCGCCTGTAGTCCCAGCTACTCAGGAAGCTGAGGTGGGGGGATCACTTGAGTCCTGGAGGTAGAGGTTGCAGTGAGCTGAGATTGCGCCACTGCCCTTCAGCCTGGGTGGCAGAGCCAGGCTTTGTCTCAAAAATAAAAAAATAATAATAATTATAAATTTAAAAACTGAATACTAAATGGAAGTTAGGAAGGAAGGAGTTAAAAAAGAAGAAAAGTAAAATAAAATAGTAGGAATAGTGTATCCTTAGTTTTGTTCGATGTTCAATAATTTAATAAATCTGTAAAAAGACAGAGATTAGATTATGCAATTTAAAATGTTTCATGCTATTTACAAGAGAAGCGTTTGCAACAAAATGCCAAAGGGAAGGTGAAAATAGCTAGGAAAAAAAAAATGCGCAAAGCAAATACCAATAGAAAGAAAGCCAAGTTGGGCTAGCAAAATCAGACAAAATAACCCTCGAGGTGCAAACAACTTTGAGGCCCAAATAGAGGTTCTTCACACTAAAAGAATGATTCTCTGAATGATAATGGAATCTTGACCCAGCCTGCACCTCAGGTTAAGTCAGAAGTGGAAATTTAAAGATCTAAGTGTGAGATATTAAAAAGCATTTCCCCAGAAATACCAGGATCTGTAGATGGAAATGTTATTAAGAAATAAGATGTGGAGCTGGGCGTGGTGGCTCACACCTGTAATCCCAGCGCTTTGGGAGGCCGAGACTGGCGGATTTCTTGAGCCCAGGAGTTTCAGACTAGCCTGGGCAACATAGTGAGACCCCATCTTTAAAAAAAATTTAAAAAAACATTAGCTGGACATGGTGGCATGCACCTGTGGTCCCAGTTACTCCGGAGGCTGAGGTGGGAGGATCACCTGTGCCCAAGAGAGGTTGAGGCTGCAGTGAGCCATGATCACGCCACTGCACTGCAGCCTGGGTGACAGAGCGAGACCCTGTCTCAAAAGAAAAAAAAAAGAAATGAAAACCGTAGCTCAGAGACAGAGAAACTGAGCAATGCATAGGTTCAGAAGGGTTTGAAACAGACTGACTAAATTGTGTCTTGGCATATGAGACAGGTCGCAGTTATAAAACAATGAGAGAAGAAACCAAATTCCACATAGGCAGGACTGAGACAATTGGCTGTTCTTGTGGATGATATGTGATCAAATCTCAACTTCATGCAAAACTTTTTGTTTTTTTTTTTTTTTTTTTTGAGACGGAGTCTCGCTCTGTCACCCAGGCTACAGTGCAGTGGTGTGATCTCACCTCCCTGCAAACTTCTCCTCCAGGGTTCAAGTAATTCTTGTGCCTCAACTGGGACTACAGGCATGTGCCACCACGCCTGGCTAATTTTTGCATTTTTAGTAGAGATGCGGTTTCACCAAGTTGGCCAGGCTGGTCTCGAACTCCTGACCTCAGGTGATCTGCCCATCTCGGTCTCCCAAAGTGCTGGGATTACAAGTGTGAACCACAGCGCCCGGCCTCATGTAATACTTAAAAATCAACTACAGGTGGATTACAAACCTGAATGTAAAAGAAAAAAAATTTTTTTTTTTTTGAGAAATAGAGGGAAATATCTTATAACCTCAGGGTTAGGAGTTTTTCTTAGATAAAATACAAAAAGCATAACCATGCCTGTAGTCCCAGCTACTCAGGAGGCTGAGGCACAAGAATCACTTGAGCTTGAGAGGCGGAGGTTGCAGTGAGCCGAGATCCTGCCATTGCACTCCAGCTGAGGCTACAGAGTGAGACTCCGTCTCAAAAAAAAAAAAAAAAAAAAGCATAACCTTTAAAAATGGGTTAGACTATGCCTACATTTTAAAAATAATAACCATAATAATAATAATGTTCTGACTTCAGGCTCTAAAAATGTCAAAAGATGAGCTGTCAACTGGAAGAGGCTCCTTCCTGCCCATATCACCAGGGAAAGTTTAATATGCAAAATGCAGTCATCCTTCAGAATTCATGGGGTATTAGTTTTAAGACCCCTTCTTCCCCGCAGACACCAAAATCCACAGCTGCTGAAGTTCCTGATATAAAATGGTGCAGTATTTGCATATAATGCAAGTATATGTTCCTGTATATTTTTATTTATTTATTTATTTATTTGGAGACAGAATCTCACTCTGTTGCCCAGGCTGGAGTGCAGTGGCGTGATCTTGGCTCACTGTAACCTCCACCTCCCGGGTTCAAGAGATTCTCCTGACTCAGCCTCCCAAGTAGCTGGGATTACAGGTATGCGCCACCATTCCCAGCGAATTTTTGTATTTTTAGTAGAGACGGGTTTTAACCACGTTGTCCAGGCTGGTTTCGAACTCCTACCCTCACGTAATCTGTCCACCTTGGCCTCCCAAAGTGCTGAGATTACAGGGGTGAGCCACAGGGTCCAGCCTCTGGTATACTTTAAATTATCTCTAGGTTACTCATAACTCCTGATACGGTGTAAATGCTATGCAAATAGTTGTTATACTATATTATTATTATTATTATTATTATTATTTCTTGAGGACGGCAGTCTCGCGCGTCTCTACTGTAAAATAAAAATTCGCTGGTCCAATCGCTGGTGTCG